TAAATCTAAGCAGTATCGGGGAAGATGTCATTATTCCTTAATCTACCTTGTTATGAGGAACGAGAGTAAATATAGTCAGTGCTAAGCATTTTAAGTGCAATCAAGCTCAAAATAACTCCTTTATTTGAAAGGAAACTGTTTATTTCTCTTTCGAAAGAATTCATATGTAACAGTTGATATTGAAACAAGTACAGACTCAAGCACTCTCCAGGTAACTAAGAGTTTAATGTAAGAGTTTTTTTTTTTTATGTGAAATCAATCTTGAAATCACTCATTCATTTCAAACAGATCTTACAAGCTTCCGAAGTACTTTGTAAACTTTAAGTGTGCAAACAAGCTCAGAAACATACATTCATCTCAAAATTTCCTGCTTCCTTCACTGGCTAGGAGGAATGCCTCGGTCCTGGCACAAAGAGAGATGGTATTCACGGAGACCACCCCCAACGGTGCTCCTGCTCCCCCTCCAGAAGCCGAGTCTGGATTCTGGCTCCATAGGAAGTCCCTGCCTCTCACTCCAGAGGCCACACCCCTGCTTCTCTCTCCAGAATATACTAGTAAGAACCCACTGCTGGCTCCAGAGCCCAAGTCCCAATCCCCCTTCTAGAGCTGGAGTCTCCCGTTAAGCAATTTTTTCTATCTGGATTCCTTTAGGCAGGTAAGGGGAAGGGTCAAAGTTCTTTTCTGAGTCTCTTGTATCTTACAAATAACCAGCTTAAAATAATCAGTATCCCAAGAGGCACATTTTGGGGTGGAAAACTCGGCTTCCCCTCACTAGTAAAAGGAAGGTTCTTTAAGAGCATGCATGATAGTGAACTCATTTTCACAAATACTGTTTTGATTCATTATAATTGCTTATAACTCTCCAAAGAGAAATTCCGAGATCTTTGAAGGTTTGAGGACTTTCTAGTACGTTTGAATCCTTTCGAAGGTTCGTTTGAGAACAGTATGTGATTCAAGTTCATTATCATAAACACTGCTTAGCTACATTGAGTGTGGTTTCATTTGCAGGAAGAAAGTGCAGTTGAGGTAAATGTGTTTTCCTTAGCTTTTTTTTTCTTTTTTTTTTTTTTTTAGTTCAGGTCTTTTCTGAACACGTGTCCTGTCCTAGATATATGCATAGTTTTTAAGAATTACCCAATATTTACAGGAGCTTTTTGTCTTGTTTTGTTTTTATTGATTTTTAGAGACAGAGGAAAGGAGAGAGAGAGAAACATCGATGTGAGAAGCATTGATCAGCTGCTTCCTGCATGCCCCCTCCTGGGGATGGAGTCCACCACCTGGGGCATGTGCCCTGACTGGGAATTGAACCTAAACCTTTTGGTGCATGGGATGATGCTCAACCAACTGAGCTACACTGGCCAGGGCAGGAGCTTTTTAATGCCCTAAATTCCCAAAGAAATTCTCTCCTCAGCTTTTCCTGCCAGGCTTTCGGCATTCTGTTGTTTGCCTCAACTGTGATCTTTTGCTCCAGATGGCAATTGGTTGTCCGTTTGCTTTCCAGTGTTTTGGGGGAATGCTCTCTTCATAACTCCTTTTCTGTTCTATGAGTTCATTCGGCAAAACAAGGGGCAGGCACCTGTGTCAGTCCTTTAAGCAGTCTCCAGAGAGGTTAGAACAAAATTCGTAGAGAGACCCTTCAGTGCACAGGCCAACACTCTAACAACTGGCAGGGCTCCCACTTTTTATGTAGTTGAGCAGATAAAACCCATCACAAACACTTTAAAATTAATGATAAGTAGTCCTCTTTTAAGAGGATTTTACAAACATTGTTTGCTGTACAATTCATCCCAAAGTCACCTGGTAATTAGGGTAGTCATGTGCTAGTTAATTGCCTTTATTTGAAAGAAAAACAAAACTTCTCTTATCTCTGTGATGAGCAGGTATTTATAGTTTGAAGCAAGGCATCTAAACTAAGCTCTCCAAGTGACAAAGGTAAGAAGCAATATCTTCCTTAATGTTTACATTTCCGAGGTGGCTCCCAGGTATTTAAGAAAAATATTCCTAGATTATAAAATGGTCAACATACTTTTCAGCCTTTAAAAAAATTTTACATAGATATCAAAGGAGCACATTTACAAACAGGTTTCTCAATAAAATACTCTAAGAAAATGGAGGGAGGAAACTATGTATTTCCTTTGTGGCAAAGGTGAAAACTAAATTAAACTTCATTTACCATTAATTACTATTTAAATGCTATTCCTATGAGCTGAACTAGGTCTGCTTTGCAGAAGCCCTATTAAAAAAGAGGCATCAGGCCACCAAGAGTGTCGCTTGTGCTAAGCCCACGTCACCAAACCAAAACCTAATGCTTTAGTTTTGTAGCAGGACAGTAAGTAAGAAGCTAGGAAAATCCCCGGGCAAGTGGAATGGGGAAACAAGAAAATTAAACAAGACCAAACAGTTTGGGCAGCTTGCAGCCAGCTTGTGAATTCCAAGACCTTATCTTCCCTAACCAAGAGAGTCGTGAGAGCAAATGGTTTATATCCTCCTCCCTAACCAGAGAATACATAGCTGAAGTCACCCAGGCCTGGCAAAATAGAGAACAAAGACCCAATTAATGCATTTTCGCCAGCTAGACAAAAGGACAGATGAAGTTGGGGAACAGATAACAAAAACCCCATTAAAGCCAGATGGACCTAAGATAAAAGTAAAACCGTACAACAGACAAAGAATAATACAAAACTCCCCTATACGCTCATTTTAATGCATCAGCATATTAAAAATGCACCCGGAAAGTTGATGAATATACTACTAAGCCCCCCTCCTCCCCCCAAGATTCTCACCTGCAGGGGAAAAAAAAGGATAAAAAGCCCCCAGGACAAAGACTTGATGTGGGCTCTCGCTAGAGCCTTCCCGGGCGCGAGCTTTTTATTTCTAAGGGTCCCCACAAGACTTGCAGCCGGGGGAGCGGCGGGCAGTGGCAGCTCCACCTGGGCTCACCCCCTGATCCTGTCTCCACTTCCCAGGGAGCTGAAGCAGCCCTGCCTTGCTCACTTCTTTCCTATAACCTTTCTAGAGCCAAAGCAGCCCCGCCTATGCTCTCCCTGTCGTTTCTTCTACCCTAATTTCTTCCTTTGTGTCATTGTCCCCAGCATTAATACACATATTCTCAAACCCATCTGGACTCCTGTTGCGAAATCTTTCCTACCCAAAGTCAAGCAGCCACATACCACAGACCGGCCTGAGGCAGACCTACTAAGGGCCCGCCCCTGTCCAGTAACAGTTTCAACCTCTCCCAGAAATGAAGTCTTAAACCAGTCAGTCTGGAATTACCTGGTCAGCACTCTTGAGGTAATTTTCTCATAGACCCCTAAGGGTCTTTGAGACCCTTGCCTGAAAGAATCCACTCTGTCCACAGCTTCCTTGTCCCCCTGAACCCTTCTGCCCATAAAAATCTATTTTGTATAGCTCTTCAGAGCTCTTTTCTCTTTGCTAGATCTTCAAATGCACTCAGTTGATTTTTTTTTGTAATGCCCTTGACCGGAATCGAACCCAGGACCCTTTGGTCTGCAGGCTGATGCTCTATCCACTGAGCCAAACTGGCTAGGGCTGAATTTTTTTTTTTTTTTAAACATCCAGATTCTAGATAATAGGCCAGAGAGCCAAGCTCAGCATGTGTGAGTGAGGCTTCTGTCCTCCAGGACCTGGATGAGAATTTGTCACTAAGTTTGAGGACTTGGACAAGAGGATACCCACTATGTAGCATCCAAAGTGGGGCGACTGCTTTGCCTTCCTGTTTCTCCTGCCAGTAAAGTGGGGATGCCCACAGGGGTGCGCGGGTGGCACGAAGCCACACTTAGATGGCGCTCATGAAAGGAGGTGTGTATGCTATGCAGTTTACCGGTAAGCCCAGGGCATTTAGCTGGGCCTGGGAGTAAAAACACAAGCCAAAGCGCAGAAAAGGCTCCCAGCCCGCACTCTGCACCAGCCAGACCGTCAACCGGAAATGCCTCTATTGCACGGAACTCTTCACCCGCCGGAGGGGCGGGGTGCGGAACCCTTCTGCAGAAGCTGCCGTAGAGATTTCTGGGAAGTGTAGTCTTTCCAGCGGACGAGTAGAAGGAACAGACTTCACTGCGGAATCACTGCCTATCTTAGTTATTTTTTGGTTATTAAACAAATTAACTTTAGAGAGAGGCCTGCCTCAGGCCGGTTTGTTGCTCCACTTACTTATGCATTTGTGGGTTGATTCTTTTGTTGTTGTTTGTTTTTCATTGGTGGGTTCTTGTATGTGCCCTGACGCGGGATGGAAGCTGCAACCTCGGCGTGTGAGAGGACGCGCTAACCCGCTGAGCACCCGGCCGAGGCCATCACTGCCTGTTTTGTGCGTGGGCATCTTAATAAAAGAGACGGTTAGGCTGTCACTGCAACAGGCATTGTCCAGTAAATTAACCTCGTGGCCGCAGCCTCTCCCCGGGCGGCCATTGGGGGCGGAGCCTGCGGGGATGCTGGGAGCTGTGCTGGCGCCGTTGATCGGCGCAGGGCTGGGTGGACCTACCCCGCTGACGCTGGTGAGCGAACCGCCGAGGCCCTTTGCGGTGCTGGCAGGAGGAGCGGGGCCCCGCGGGGTTAGGGACCTGGTGGAGTGAGGCTGGTGGAGGAGTGGCCGCAAGTCCGGGAGGTTTCGTTTTGGAAATGGGGCGCGGCCCCAGGTGCGCCTTTGGGGGCGGGGAATGGGGTGAGACGCTCCGTGCTGCGCGCTAGGGGACCTTCCGTCTCCGGCTGGGGCGACTGAGCTGGAACTGTGGTTTCTCTTTTGAAGGAGGTGAGATTGTTTATTCTGGGCCGGACAACTAACGAAGAGGGAGGCGGCTGCAGTCGAGCACCCCGGGGTTTATTTGGGCCGTGCACACGAGTTCAGCCAGGCATCCCTGGGGTGGGGTTGGGGCGCGGATCCGGCCATATAGCTCCTTGCGTCTTTCTAGCAAGGGAACCCCTACCTGGGTCCTGCGTGTCCGAGTGGTTGTGAGTATGAAGAATTGGGTTTTTGTTTGTTTGCTTGCTTTGGTGGGGCTGAGTGTGGCTCAAGTAGTGATGGGGTGGGGACGGGGTT